TTCACCCACAAATGGTTACCGACAGGTAATTTTCACATCATAGAATGAACCAGACAGCTTAAGAGACCGTTGAAAACCATGACTGGCGCCTCAATTACTTAGTTAATTGACTAATTACTATGCAATTACTTAATTGGTCATCACAGACCGTGACAGAGGGTCTTCAGAAATGACTGCAAATTGTGGCATACACACGCTTTAATTAATTGACTAATTAGTACCATATGAATTGAATGCTCATCACAGACTGTTACACAAGATCTTCAGAGACTATCACACAGCGTGGCAGACTATCTTCAGATCTAGCACAGCCCATCAGAGACGCCGTTCCAGCCTAGCGCAGATCATCACTGGTAGCGGCAAACGAGCTGTCTCACTAAATCTACAAAGAACTCCCTTGAATACACCATCTACACGTGATTTCTTGCAGTGATTATGTCGTGTTTCACATTTTTAATCCCAGAAGGATTGCGCTAACAGCTTTTCTATTTCTAATGGTAGTGTTTATTTGATCGGCTTTCTCAATTAAATACTCTATTTTAGGAGACAGAAAATGTACACCACTTATGCACCCCATTCTGAAAACGAATGTACCCCAAATGTACCCCATTCGGACTTTCAAAAGCCCCATTTGAAAAATGAAAAATGGTAGCCCTGTCGCGAATGTATGTATGTTCATTTCGATTACATATGAACCCATTTTTCTTCTAAAAGAAAAATGATATTTCATTTATCTAAACTATATTTCCCATTGAATTTTCCATTTTTCCGCTGCAAACTCATTTTCACAGTGGTGTGACATGATCGGAGGAACGGTATATTTATATTACTGTTTATTTGTTTAGTGTGTTTATTGTAAGTTTAGTTTTTAAGCATTTTTGACCTGAAAGTCATTTTTCCGCTTGAAACGAGCATTTATGTCACCGATCAGATATTTGTCTAATCCTCATTTCATGATGTTTTCCATCGTATAGAATAATTTTTCTTTTGAATATATATAATTTCTCGAGGATTTATCATTCGTTTCAGGCCGTAACTTTAAAAATATTTTAAGAATCAATAAAAGCATTTATAGACTAAATTCATGATAATAATCCTTGCATTCCGATCGTTCTATGAACATCTTGTCGTAAGCCAGAAATCCGATAAAACTATCATGGATTTAGAAAAGAAGGTCTTTGTGGAAAGATCCTCTTAGATTTTTTATAATCTTAATAATGCCTCTTATGATAATGGTATTACACCGATTAGCGATTCATTTTTTTGAATTTGCTCATTCGACAGGAAAATAATATTTTCTAAAGAAAAAGTCTTATGATTATAATTTCACGAACTCATGTCATAGAGCCCTGTATTATTTTGAATAAAAAGTCATTTCTTGTCAAAAACGTTGAAATACTAAGTACGAATCTTCCATATACGAATTAGGTTATTCTAAAAATGTATCTTCTACGAGTCGTTTCAGCTGAAAGTGTTCTTTCGCTTGTCCTGTATGTTTCAGCAGGTAGAGTAAATGTAATAGTATTTTAAAAAGCTATTATATTGAATGTTCAAGCTTTTACTTCAAAATTATGTATGTGGTATTCATGTGAACACAATTTTTTATAGTTTCTAATTTTGAATATTTTGTAAAGAAAAAAATTCACGTCATAAATATGAAAATAGAAGAGCAACGATGAACAAAATACTAATATTATCATGTTGAACCGTTTTCAGTATGCCGTGACATTTATAAATGATATAAGTACAAATCTGTGTTCATATGTTTACACATGAATGTTAACCTCGAAAAAAGGATCAATCTATAGTTATATCCTTTAATCGTGACATTCTTGTTTATTGTAGTCTTTAAGCGATATCAGTTTTCATTCTATTCTTCATACAAAAAAAGGAAGTAAAGATTACGATAGAACTATTCATGTAGTAATATATTGATAATATTCAATGGGCAATCAAGTATTGTTGACTAACTCGTTCAAGTAAAATAAAATTTAATTACGATTTAGAATAAAATTCAACGAAGTACCGAAAATCTTCAAGAAAAAGATCACTCTTATGTGATTAATCTTGATGACATCGTTAAACAATGGATATGGTCTAAATGGAATAAAACAAAATCCAAATCATTGTCTCATTTTAAGTAAATATGTTTTCCTACTCAAATAACTTACCGAAAATGTATTGATTAACGTAGACGTGAAGATCTGTTAATACAAATCAATTGGAAACATGTTTCATTCATACAAAAAAATATCAACTATTCTCATCCATCATATTCATATTTTCCACGTACGATTTTTCGTACAAATTTCGATAATAAAACAATGAGTGAACATTCATATACATTTACAACAAAACAATGTACAAACTCAACATTTAAATATATATTTACTCGTAGTTTACATAAATCTAATGATTCAACTCTCATTTTTCACCTGCCCGAACAAATTTTAGAAAAAAACACCAATATAAAACGTGAACAATCAATTCCATTGGGGCAAGATGTGTAAGTGAAATATATTTAAAATAATTAACGTATTATTTCGTTTTCTAGTACAAAAGAATATGAAAAAGTTTGGAATGTAAATAGTGAAATACGTGTTCCATATCAGACTCGTATCATTGCTGAACTAAATATTGATGAAGAAGAATTTCGCAGTCGTTTCTCTATAGCTATACAATTTTCTGGTCGTATTACAGCAAATATTGCAGCACGTCAATCCCCTAATACTTATTTGAAATTGATTCATGGTGATATTGTTCAAATTATATGTCAAACAATGAAAAATAATCCACGATTGAAAGTTTTTAAAATCACTCAAGGAAAATCTCCTTCAATCTGTTTTACAATCCATGGGAAATGTTTGTTTCGTTATGGTGTTAAACAGAATATTGTACTTAATCAAGAATTATTGCAACTATCATCAGTGTCTGATCTTCATATGCCATCGGCTCCTATTCAATATAGTCGTTGAATATCATCAAATATGGAAACTAATGATTTGATTTCGCTAAATCTGTACAATCAATGTATGAGTATGAAATTAACAGAATATAAATGAATACAAATTGGCTTAGAAAAGAATCTCCTCAAATACGAGCTTTCCTATTCAATCAGATGCATGCTACTTTGTAGAATGTGATAAGTTGATTAAGCTAGCATGACACGTTCATCCATAGATGGTACCTTTAAGAAGTTAAATCTGTATTAAATTTCAGAAAAAAATGATAATACTTTATTATTTCGCAAATTTTTATTTCTTTACTAGTTTCGATTTCATCAGTTTAAATTTTAATAACAGATGTACCTTAACTGACTAAGAAAGTCGTACATAATCAACATAAGTAGAAGTTCTAACTAAGCCTATAATTTGAATATTTTTATGCCATTAAAATACAATAAATGTACAGACTTCAACTTTTCTCAAAACTTCATCCAATTTTTAATTTCATGTGGAAACTTTAAAATAATATTGAATTCTTTCACTTGTGTGAATTGTACAGATGTTGATTGTCATTCAAAAGTATCTCTCATGTTTCATCATTAAATATTGAAAATGGCACGAAGAAATAACTTTCCAAACAAAAAACAAATTAACATAATTTTTCTACAGTAGATATAGGCTTAACTAACTCAAAAGCAATCCTATGAGAAAGAACGCTATATCATATCATGATCAACGTGTCGTATTCTTAAAAAAAGTAGCATGCAAAAGATTAAAATGACAACTTACCTTTGGAGATTTTCCGGCGTTAGTTTTTAAATGTAATAATAATTTTGTTTCTGTAGTACAAAGAAAAACTTAATAAAATTCTTATTTTAAATGAATCCTTTTATTTTTTCAAAAGGCACCCGCGCATGTCATCTGTGAAACTACACAATCCTATATGTCAAAATTCTTCATTGAGATGAAATTTGAATGGACTCATTAGATAAATCTTAAATGGAACAAAAAGAAACATGCATAAATCTTATTGTATCTACAACGAAAAATAAATAGTTTGATAAATTTCTCTGAGATTCATGAAAACCTAAATTTTATTGGACAAAGTTGACTCTGTGTGATCGACAAATTTCATAAGAAGTATAATGAAGGTTGAGTAGATGGACTAAAGAAAGTTTCAATCATGAAACTAACATGTTTTCATTGATAGCAATAATTATCACAGTCTCAAGAAAGCTGCATCAAATGTCCTATTTCTACATTTCTTGTACTATATTGAGATATAGATGAAATATTCTCGATCATATCTATGACTCAGACAACCATATAGCATATTTGAGTAGAATATTTTCTTAATTGTTCAGCTTAAGATTATTGGTGAATCCCCAAATTCTACATATTTAATTGATCTCTATTGTTTGAAACAGTATGCCAAGATGCGAACGATGATAGTCTTTTTTAATCAAGTTAATTTTTTTATTACATATAGAAATACTTGTACGAAGTGATTCTCATTTTTAGACAGTTTTGTTTTTAGACCTCCAATCTGGTAAACGTTGTTTTTTCAAACATAACATGAGAATTTTTAAAAAGTTTCAATCGTACCCTGCATACTTGCATGTTCTTGTAGTCATAAAAACGAAATAAAATATGCAGAAAAGAAGTTGAACTATGAATTTCCACTAAATTAACTTTTTTTGATTCTTGTTCAATGAATGTTTCACTCAAACATCACCGTCTTGAGTTGAAAACACCATAAAAATGTGTTCACTATATTCTTAGCATCTATGAAAATTTTGATATAGAAGTGATGACATGAAATGAGAAAATGATCAAAAGAAGGAAAAGGTTAAACGAATTTGTAATGTGAACATGGTTTAAAAATAAATCTTCAAGATCTTGACGGCCTTTATTTCTGGTTTAAAACAAATTTTCTGTTCATCTTCTTTGACAACTGATGAACAACTATATATATATATACGATAGATATTCATTAAGATTATCTTAATGCTACGAATTCATGCAGAAAACAAAATATTACATTAGAATGCATCTCATCTAAGCACTTATCTAATATTTGCTTTTAAAAAATTATGAAACCTAATGCTTATGACGCATTACCATGCATAATTCTTCAACAATATCATTATTATTTTAAATATAGATAATTTTAAGTATATTTTAACACAATCGTAAGATACTGGCTACCTGAGTAATGCCGCCTTATCATGACACTACTGATAGTCTTATGATTCACGTATGAATAAATTAAGTAGATATTGACAATAGTGGTTTGTTAGTTTTAGTTCATAATGAATGATATTCACTTCTGAAGTAGATCAGTTAAAATTTTTCTTTTTCATATTATATAATTAAAATTTGAGAACAAAAGAAGGAAATACACATAAAGAAAGACAATAGTTAAATATATTGTGCATTCTATACGAAGAAAAAAAAGAACCGCTCGTTGATTTATCCATTAAGTCAATGATAAATATAAGCTTTTAATTAAAATATGGAAGAACGTATTATTATTATTTGATTGCATTTAAAAAATAAATTTTATGATAAAATTTCATCGTGTTGAAGTTTGGCATAATTTGTCGTATCACTCAATTTATCATCCATTAATGAGCTAGACGTAGATTCATTATCGTCATTTATCTGATTTGGTTTAGATTTTTTTGCTGAATTTTTCAATGCTTGGCGTTTATTACAAAACCTATGAATTAAGATTAGAAAGCATTTTGTTATTTTGTTTAAAAAAACACATTAATTCATACCAAACACGAATAACTTCTCGATCATAATTTAGCTCTTGAGCAATTGTTGACATATCTGTGCCCGATGGATGTGTATTCAATTCAAATGCGTCATTTAATTTTTCTAGTGCTTGTGGGGTAAACGATGTTCGTCGTTTACGTTTTTTAGTATTAAGATCAGAAACAAGATCTTGTAGATTTGCTGGACCACTTTTTAGTCTGTAAAAACAAATAAGAAATAATGAAATTATTGTTTTCAATTAACATTTGCTTGTTTTTTATTCGTACCTATCACCATATTTCAATTCAGCTTCTCGCATCCATTTTTCAAGGACAGGTTTGATTTTTGAAGCACTCTTCGGTGTTATATCAAGTTTTTCAAAACGACATATGGCCGATTGACTATAAGCTGGTCCACGTGTAACACTTAAGGCTTGACCAACTTGAGTTTGAGTCAAACCTAACGCTAATCGACGTAATTTGAATGCTTTGGCAAATTTTTTGATTTCTTCTAAATTAATACCATCAATTGTTGTTGTTTCTTCGTCTAAATAAAGAAAATAATAAAAGCAAAAAAGTTTCATTATAATAATTTTACTATTATTGGAAGGTAACGTAGCAAGTGTAGTTGCTATTGTTGGTGAATTATCGTCATCATCTATCGTTGACTTTTCATTTGTATCCGATAGACTAGTAGAAGAAGAAAAAGAAAAAAAAAGAAATCCATAAAATCTATAAAGAAATCAAAAAAAAAAGTATGTATTAACCTGCAATCAAGGGGTACTGAAGTATTTAAATCGTTTTTATGCTTTGAATTTATCGATGAAATTGATTCTTTTGGTTTATTGTTATAATCGATGAATGGTGGGATCGGACAAGATGCTAAAAGTAAAGAATCAATAGAACAAAACTAATTGATTAGAATACTTACGAAAATTAGTTTGCTGTTGTTGTTGCTGTAAAAAAAGCGCACTATTGTGAAGAAGAAATTGCAATGCATTTGTAAGTGGATTTAATGGAGGACAAGTTGCTCCTAGAAATGAATTTAATCTTAATTTTAATCAAATCTTCAATTCATATTTTACCAGAAAGTAAAAGTTGAGTAAGAAATAATTGCTGTTGTTGTTGAGATGTGAGGTTAGAAAAAAATGGTGAATAAAACGGATTTATTTCTTCATTTAACGATGTACAAGAAGCTAAATTTTAAATAAATTGAATTCTCAAAAATAAAAGAAGTTGAAAAACAGTACCTTCTGGAATTCGAGATTTTTCGGACGCAGTCGGAAGTGTCATATATATATATATATATATATGTATTTATTTATTCCTATTCTGAAACGAGAAAAATTTAAAAACTATTTAAAAAAAATCAATTGTTTATGCTTCTCCTTTTTTTCTTTTTAATTTAGACTGTTTATGTATTCTTATCGCGAGTGCTCGAGAATGTGAAACACACCACACATACTCTATCACTTTAGAGTATAAACGAGTAAGTAAGCACCATCTCCTCTCGTTGTCCCATTGGTAATTTGATTCCACAATTTTTTTTTTGTTCTTTAGTATTTAATGGTAGTAGCTATGCTTTATATTTTATGCGCAAAAACGAAAAGATAGATAGGCAACAGCAGCGGCGGAACGAGACAAAATATAAATTGACTTTCGTTGTTTGCTGGTACGCAAAATAAAGTCAAATTCGAACCAGGTGCAAGTTTAATTGTATATATGTGTATGCGCATATCTATCTCTACACGCATAAGTGAGATTCGCACCCACCCTTACATATATATATATATATAAATATATAACCATAATAAAGAGAGAGAGAGAGAGAGAGAAAAATCTCTAAAGAAACACATAAATTAAAGAAATAAGAAGAAACCGCTCTAAGTCGAAGAAAGAAAAAAGAATAAAAAGCTCATTAACGTTATCTCGACAACAAACTATAAGTACGTACGAAAGAGAGAGAGAGAGAGAGAGAGAATGAGAATGATGATGATACTGTTTATGCAAATACAAAATTCGCTGCTTCTGTCGTCTCGGATAATTTATGCTAAACGCACGATAGGCGAAAAAAAAGAAAAACGGAAAAGCCTCTCATTCACATTGAAAAAAATCGACGAGAATGCAACAAAAAATATTCACAATTATGCACAATCGACACTATCTTTAGCGACTATTCTCTCTACTTGCCTTGCTTGTCAACGACCGATTCATATTTCTTTGCTATTTTCTCGACTTCTTTTGTTATGTTTTCAATATGTGCAAGAA